GTAGCATGAGGTCCCCTCTCTCTCTGCTTACTTCTTTTATACCTCAAAAGAGACTGACTCAAGATACAACCTAATCTTGTAGAGTGAGTCCTGCCACATTAACATAAGTATCTCTAATCTTGCTTCATTAACATCATAGAGGTAGAATTTACAACACACAGCAAAATCACATCAGATGACAAAATGGTGGACAATCACACAATACTGGGAAATCATGGCCTAGCCAAAGTGATACACATTTCAGGGGGACATAATTCAGTCCATAACAATCAGTAAGCGCTTCAAGTCCTCTTCACTTTCAGCAAGCAAGGTTGTGTGTCATCTGCATATCGCAGGTTGCTAATGAGTCTTTCTTCAATCCTGACGCCACATTCTTCTTCATATAGTCCAGCTTCTCGGATTATTTGCTCACTATACAGAGTAAGTATGGTGAAAGGATACAACCCTGACGCACACCTTTCCTGATTTTAAACCACACTGTCTCCCCTTGTTCTGTTTGAATGACTGCCTCTTGGTCTGTGTACAGATTCCGCATGAGTACAATTAAGTGTTTTGGAATTCCCATTCTTTGCAATGTTATCCATAATTCGTTATGATCCACACAGTTTAATGCCTTTGCATATTCAATAGAACACAGGTAAACATCTTTCTGGTATTCTCTGCTTTCAGCCAAGATCCATTTGACATCAGCAATGATATCCCTTGTTCCACATCCTCTTCTGAATCCGGCTTGAATTTCTGGTACTTCCATTGGTGTACTGTTGCAACCATTTTTTAATTACCTTCATCAAAATTGTACTTATGTGTGATATTAATGATATTGTTCAATAATTTCTGCATTCTGTTAGATCACCTTTCTTTGGAATGGGCACAAATATGGATCTCTTCCAGTCAGTTGCCCAGTAGCTGTCTTCCAAATTTCTTGGTATAGATGAGTGAGTGCTTCCAGCATTGTATCTGTTTGTTGAAACATCTCAATTGGTATTCGGTCAATTCCTGGAGACTTGTTTTTCGCTAATGCCTTCAGTGCAGCTTGGACTTCTTCTTTCAATACTACTCAGTACTCGAAACCAAACCCATTGCCACTGAGTCAATTCCAACTCACAGCGACCCTGTAGGACAGAGTAGAACTGCCCCATAGGGTTTCCAACGAGCGGCTAGTGGATTCGAAACGCCGACCTTTTGGTTAGCAGCTTGAGTTCTTAACCCTGAACCACCAGGGCTCCTACCACTCATAGGCCTCCAGAAATCAGAGAAAGGTAAGTGCCTAGAGATCCTGGAGAAAGGAGTCCATGGATGCCATGCATTAGATCAACAGGACAAATGTTTTAACCATTACATCACAAGGGAAATAGGTGCCACTTGGAGTGCAAGAGTTACAGAGATAGTGACAAATACCAGCTGTCCCTTTCCTGCTAGGATTTTCCTTTTCTCCCTCTCTGACACTTTCCTTGCTTTCTTCCAGTTCTCTCTTTTTAAATTAAAATGGTAAACAGCAGGTTTTCCACCCATCTTATGTGGATGTATTCTAATGGTATAAAAGATTTACACCCACTCCTCACTTATCAACTATCTCATTATCTGAAATTTCACATTTATGACAAGAGTAAAAAATCTACTATCCGACTATTCTGCACATAATGACATATTTCTGGCAGTAATGAATGCCAAGGTGTGAGGCAAGAGTAACACTGGCTGTGATGGTTAATGTTATGTGTCAGCGTGGCTGGACCATGATTCTCAGTGGTTTGGCAGTTACGTAATGATGTAATTTGGCAGTTATATAATGATGTAGTCATCCCTCATTTTGTGATCAGATGTGGTCATCTTCCATTTTCACATAATGCCAATTTTCACATAACAACCTGGTCTTTGGAACCTAACTATGTCAATAAGTGAGGAGTGGGTACATTCCTAATTCAAGGAGTAATAAACAATAAACACCCACTACACATTCTGACCATTTTTTATAAATATGTATACTTCCCTACCACCTATAAATTAGCCTTTCCTTCTATATTTGGAAAAAAGATTACCATTTTAACTGCTGTAATACAATTAAGCCCTCACTAATCTGCATGCTAATTTGCATACTAATTCACAAACTAGAGAAGAACAAAAGGGTTACCCAAGAAAAAATTAACTTTAAATTGCTGATTTAACAAGCTTTCACCCATTGTCACTGAGTCAATTCCAACTCATGGTGACCCTATTAACACAAAATACTAAGGTTGACACAGTAGGTAGCTAGATCCTCTCTCAGGAATACCTGTTTTGTACAGAATGAGTTTTAGATTCCTGAAGTGACATAAATTCTAACTACTGGATAGAAGGAACAGAATTTTACATTTACTAAACAAAGCTGTACGTTTCATATTCTTGATTTTAAAAGCAAACATTCTTTGTCCCAGTGATTCTACTTCTAGAAATCCATCACACAGATACATTTGCACATGTGCAAAATGATGTGTGTATAAGATTCGTCACTGCAGAACTATTTTTGATAGCAAAGCATTAGATACAACTTTTCACCAATTGTTGTTGCTGTGTGCCATCAAGTCGATTCTGACTCGTAGCGACCCTGTAAGACAGAGTAGAACTGTCCCATAGGGTTTCCAAGGAGCAGCTGGTGGATTTGAACTGCTGACCTTTTTGGTTAGCAGCTGAGCTCTTAACTACTATGCCACCAGTGCTCCTTTCACCAATACAGCATGGTAAATATAAATAAATATATAGTAATACTACTACGTTACAAGGGATTCTGTTCCATATAATGGAATACAATGTAGCCTTTCAAAAAGAATGAAACAACTCTTTTTTTTTTTTAATTGTGCTTTAAGTGAAAGCTAGTTTCTCATACAAAAATTTATACACACATTGCTATGGGACCCTAGTTGCTCTCCCTACACTGTGACAGCATACTCTTCCTTTCCACCCCGGATCTCCCGTGTCCATTCAAGCAGCTCTTGACCCTCTCCACCTCCTCATCTCGCCAGAATGAAACAACTCTTTATGAATGCATATAGAATGATACATAAGATGCAATATGTGAAAAAAGTAAGGTACAGACTATGTATAATACTACCTTTTTGTAAGAAACGATAAGCATTTGCTTGTGTATCTCTGAAAGGATACACAAGAAGAGTGTGGCCTCTGAAAAGGGGAAGGATCCTTAGGAATAGAAGGGAGATGTTTCCTTACATATCCTACACATTTAAAACCATGTTTCATGTGAATGTATTACTTCAGTTTTTTTTTTAAGTTTAAAAAACATTTTGAAAAGAAGGTGATCATTTGTTATTTTTCAAAAAATGACATTAGTTGTAAGATGCTTTTTATTTTAATAGTCTTCAGTTGATTTTGTTTGGCAGTTACAGCTGCCTACAGAAGAGGTTCTCATTCCTGGTTTAGACACTTTGGTTAACTACCTAGTCTTTAGACTATTCTCTGCCAAGCTCTTCAAATCTTAAATTCGTTGGTACATTCTTAGTTGAACCCTCCTTGATAACCTCAGGTCATGGTAATCTTTCTGGTCTCCACAATCACAATTCCCTTGAGACCACTCACCTGGCCATATCTTATTTATTCTGCCTTGTAGTGAAGAGCTCTGGCTTCACAGCAGTGAGAACTGGGCTTGAACCCCGGCTTATGTGGGTAAATTTCTTAACCTAAGCCTCAATTTGTTCATCTGTAAAACAGGGATAATGACAGTATCTACTTCATTGAATTTTTGCTGAGTACCTGCAATTGATAAGGCATGTAAAGTACCAGCGAAGTGCCTGGCATGTAGTAAGCACTCATTAATGTTAAGTATTGTTATTATCTGTATTATCTCTTTTCTTCCCCCATAAGACTATAAGTTCCTTGAGAACAAGAATTCTGTCCTTATTGTCTGTGTGGCCTAACCTCTTTGAGCCTCAATTTTTCATGTGTAAAATGGATATCGTTACGCTATCTACCCCATAGAGTTGTTGTATCAAAACAAGATAACAACTCTAAAATACTTAACACATAAAAGCAACAACAATAACAAAGATAAAATGCCTAGCACAGTGCCCAGCATAAAGTGCTTAATAAACATTAACAATGATTATTTTTTACTTTTGTTTCTTTGTAATGCCTAACTGAGCTTCTTACATAGGTGACAGACCTGGATTTCATTTTCAGCACACCATCCCTTCTACTTGGACAAACCTGGGTTAGTTACTTAACCTGTTTCCTCATCCCATAAGGATGATAATACATATAATGAATATTAAGTACTTAATACAATATCTGGTACCCTTCCTTTCTCTCTTATCCTCCCCGCCACCCCTAGCCCCAAAGTTACTTGTTCTAGGCATATGGTAGCCTTAAACTTGGCAAGTAAGGTAGAGGGGGACTCTCAGGGTCAGAATTTCCCAAATTTGCATATGGATCCGCACCCATCTTCCAGTACTTCAATCTCTTCAACCACCTACTGTGACCTCCCGAGGAGTCAGCTTAATTAAAATCCTCAGAACAAACTTTCTTTCCACCTTCTTCCCAAAACTCGAAAACCTGCTGTACCAGTCTCTCCATATTCCTCCAGTTCACTCCTTCCTTCCACCCCCCATTTTTTTCCATCCTCTCCAAATCCCGTTTTTCAAACTTCTTCAGACCCTATTCCCTCTCGCCTCTGAATTCCCAAAGCTGTTCCTTTCTCTGTCCCCCAACTTTATCTCCATCACCTCCAAACAAAACCCACTGCCGTCCAGTCAATTCCGACTCATAGTGACCCTACAGGACAGAGCAGAACTGCCCCATAGGGTTTCCAAAGCTGTAATCTTTACGGAAGCAGACGGCCATATCTTTCTCCCGCCGAACAGCGGGTGGGTTCGACCTACCGACCTTTCGATTAGCAACCGCGCGCTTAACGATTGCGCCACCAGGGCTCCTTTCCATCACCTCAGTTTTCCCCAAAACTCCCTTCTTACCACTCCAGGCTCCTAACGCCCTCCCTTAATCCCCCGACCTCCCACCTGCACTTTCTGTCTCTTCAGCGCCGCCGCGTCCAGCCACACGCCGCAGGCCTCCACCTTGGGGCCTCTCCGCTTCATGGCCGCTGAGACTAAGTCAACAAGGCACCGAGCTCCGGACCAGGCCACTTCAGGGAATACCCAGAGCGGCACCCAGCGACGTTCGGATCTCGCGCCAACGCTGGGGCGGAGCTACGCCGCGGCGCCTCGCGCGCAGGCACCGCCCCCACCGTCAGCCCCGCCCCAGCTCAAGCCCCGCCCTTTCCCCGAGCCATCACAACTGGTGGTGTGCTTTGTGCGGAGAGCGCTTTTCCCTTTTATGAAGGTGTTTGTGTTATTTCTGATCATCTCTTTCAGGAGTTATATTCCGGAAATCATGCTGTGTGAAAGGTTCTCGACATTGTACAAGGAATGTGCATTTTCTTCTTTTTGCTGAGCTGCACTTACTGTAAATATAACTACCCAGGGGCTCAGATCTTGTCTCATCACTGAATCCTCACCATTATCCCAAAAGGAAGAGGTAGAGCCGAGGCTCAGGTCCGCTAACTCCAAAGTTGGGGTCCTCAACACTAAGCTAAATGGATACACCCTAAATCTATCAATCACAAGGCTCCCCTAGGATATTTGGCAATGGAGTGGTATCTCTTAATCATTTGTTTTGTTTTGTTGTCTGTGCTTGCTAATTTTCCTTCACTGTACATGTATTGCTTGTGTACTGTGGAGAAAACCAATATTATAAAAATTAGCATTTTTATAAATACTGAGCTTTAAAGAAAAACCCAAAAAAAGATATTTTTGTCAGATTATAAGGTAGGACTGTGCATATTTTAAACACATTCTTATAGGCTCTTATGAAGCTGCCCCCCAATAAAATGTTCAAGGTCCCAACCCCACCCTCAACCAAAAAAAAGGGAAAAAAAACCCCGCTGCCATCGAGTCAATTCCGACTCATGGCGACCCTATAGGACAGAGTAGAACTGCCTCATAGGGCTTCCAAGGAGCAGCTGTTGGATTCGAGCTTTTGACCTTTTGGTTAGCAGCCAGACTCTTAACCACTGTCCACCCCTAGGCAAGGGTAAAACAGGAACTGCCTCCCCACCCTGCCCCCACCCCCAGGGGCCCCATCTTCCTCCAGAAAACCTCCTCCAACACTTTTCAAAGCCCACAGGGGACCCAGGGCACCCTCCCTGGGACAGGAGAGAAAAAGCAGAGAAGCAGTTGCTGTCACAGTCACTTTATTGCATCCAGGACATATTAGCGTCCAGACCATCCCTAGCCTCAGCCCCACTGAACTCCTTCCCCACGTCTGGGCCTTGCACAGGTTTTTCCCTCTGCCTGGAATGTCCTTCCTCTTCTCTACCTGCAAACTCCTACTCACCCTTTCTGGCCCAGGACCCTGAGGGCCAGGGCAACACTGATTAAAGCCTTGATTATCTGGCATTGATCCGCAGCCTGTGGCCTATCACTGAATGGATCACTGATTCGTGAATGAAAGAACCAGGAGAGAAGCTGGCAGCATGGTGTGTGGACATGGAGGCAGGAGCTAGGAGAGTTGGGGCTCACCATCTGGGACAGTGACTGAAGGAGTGTGGGGGCACTGGGTGGGCTCCACTTAGGTCTCACACAATCTTCTACCTCTGGGGGCTCTCTGGAGCTCCAACACCCCAGGCTAGGGTTCAAGGGATAGTAACATCCTGCATACATTTTAAGCCTACCCTTTCCCCATCTCCCAATGAAATCAGGGTAGAGTGGGGTGCTGAGGCCTCCCCTATCTCTCAGATCAAATCTGATTCTAGCACAAATTCCACCTTCTCCTAGGTAATCTGGAAGGACTCCAAACCGGGGTCCTAGCCCAGGCTGGCCCCTAGCTCCACCCTTAATGAGAAGTAATGGAGGGACTAGCCAGGGTAGTCCACACTTTATCTCTTTCCCTCTCCCAGAGCAGGGAGCTGGAGCACGCCCAGGAGAGAGCTCCAGCAGCTCCCAGCTGATGCCAAATCCAAGGACTGGCCAGTGCCACCCTTAGCAGCTGAGGTGTGTGCAGAGAGTCACTGTGGGCCAGACACAAATGACTTTACCAGTCCTTGTTCCCGTCTGGAGCCAAGTTCGGACCCCTGAGCCCCTACACCTCCCTCCCTAGCAGCTGCCACCCCCCTTCACTTGGCCTTCTGCTCGAGTTTGTGGCGCACCAGCTGGCTCAGGAGGAACGCGGTGAGGACACTGCTGCCGACAGTGAGCAGGAAGAGGCCGGAGAAGTTGTGGGGCCAGCGGGTGTGCAGGTGCTCATAGATGGGCCGCCGGGCCTCATAGTCCAGCGCCACGGCCTCCAGCTGAGACAATGTGCACATCACCAAGAAGACGTGGAAGAGTTGGTGGCCCTGCCCAAATATGTGGCAGCTGCCTGGGAACCAGCGCTCAGGTATGCAGGCCGAGAAGAAAGCGGCAGCCAGCAGGAAGAAGACCACCTGGCACTTGTGGTAGAGAAGAGCAGGGTCGTCCAAGGCAGGATCAGGGGACACCAAGATGCGGTGCACCACAGGGCTGATGTCCAGTGCGTAGGCCAGCGCCGAGGGCACCTCCTGGCAAGTGCGGCCCAGCAGTCCCGGATTCTGGCTGTATTTGTTGTAGCAGGAACCAGTGCAGGAAAGCCAGGCGAGAAGGGCAGCCATGGGCAGGAAAATGGCCTGCACCTGGGCATGCCAGGCGGGCTCGATGGCGTAGTAGAAGTGAGCCAAGGCACTGCCAAACTGGTACATGGCCACACCCACGTAGTCCAGGAAGAAGAAGCTGTAATGCCAGAACTCAGATTTGGCGTTCAGGAGGTGAGCCAAGGCACTGAGGGAGAGGTAGGTGAAGGAGGCAAAGGCGATGATGAAGAGCGGCAGGGCATGCGGGTCTCCCCAGAAGTCCACGGTACCCACAAAGATGGCCAGCCGCAGCAGCATCACCAGGGCCGCCAGCAGGTGGGTCCACACGTTCACCGCTTCGTTGTGCTGCTGGAACAGAGTGCAGAAGTAGAAGCGCCAGGTCTGGTGCAGCGGCCGGTAGCCCACATAGATGTATGGCTTCCAAAAGAGGGGCGGCACCTTGGCTCGGTCCACCGTGAAGACAGGCTCTGGCTGCATAGATGGCTGAGACTCCTGGCGAACGTGCCGCAAGCTAGGCAGGAGATGGCTGAACTTCTGAGCCGCTACCGTGGCCATGGCTGTGGGCCCAGACAGGGAGCTGGGGAGAGAGGCCAGAGCATAGTCAGTGTCCTGGTGTCCTCGCCCTAGGAGCAGCAGCTGGGAAGGCTTTGATGCCAGGTCCTGCTTCCTCCCCCCATCCCCTTATCACTGCACTGAGTCTAAGAGGAGAGAGGCGCTCCATGAGAACAGGGATCTTAGTCCGTTTTGTTCCCTGATGTATCCCAAGTGCCTAGAACAGTGCCTGACACATACTAGGTGCTCAATAAATGTTTGAGGAATGCATTAATTAATGACCACCTCCTGACCTCCCCTCTCCTCCCACACCCAGGCTACAGCAGCAGTCTCTTTACTGGGCTCTTTGCCTCCATTACTCTCATTCCAATTAAGGCTCCACACAAAAGCCACAGCTGTTTTCTTTCCTAAAGCACACATCTGGCATGTTGAACACATGAGAGGGTGACAGGCTCTCCTAGGCCTGTGTCCATGTCACCATCAGCACTCACTTGGATGGAGACAATGATCTTGCTAACAGGCTTGCTGCCTCCACCTTTAGCCCATTCAGAATGGCCGGGGCCTCCCACTAACCCTCCATTATCCTGCAGGATCTCATCCCTGCTACCCTTTCCAGCCTTATTAGTCAACCACAGTCCACCACACTGTGAGCCACAGGCTCACCAAACCCTTGGGCCTGCTGTTGCACATGCCTGTACCTTTGCACAACCTCTTCCCTCTAACTGAGACATTTTCCTCATCTTGCCCACCTGACAAACTCCTATTCATCCCTCAAAGTCCATTTCTTCTGTGATGCTTTCCCTAGCCTTCTGAACCTCCTATGATGACCATTCTACTTGAGGGATAACCATCCTTTGACCATTATAACACTTCTCTTGGAGTTGTTAATGTAAACTCATCAAAGATAAGCAATTTGTCTCATTATTTTGTAACCCCCTGGTGCTTAGCAGGTAGCTGGTACTCAATGTTTGGTGAATAAAAAGACAACATAACACTCACTCATACTCTCCAAGGCCCAACTCAGAAAGCCACTTCTTCCTTAAAGTCCCAGCTAACAACTGATCTAGTTGTACTTTCCCTCAGTCATGTCAGTCATGCCCAGTTCAGAAGTACACCCCAACCCTGTCCTCCCATGCTCCTGCATGATTGCTGATTCCAAATAAATCAAGGCCTCCATGATCTGCTGCCACCTTCATTTCTCACTGAACCCAAATGCCACATCCTGTGCTAACTTCCTATCCCTCCACCAAGATCTTTGAAGGCCAGTACAAGCTGCTACCCCCAAAGGACGTTCAGGACTGCCTTCTCCCTTTCCCTAACTTCTTTTTCCCCTAATTTCTTAAGGTGCATATAATGTTGTTGCTGTGTACCATTAGGTCGATTCCCAGGATACCCATTGACAGTGACTTATAATGAGTTACACGATGTAGCATTCCCTACTTTAGCCATCACTTACTGAACCCCTTCTCTGCCTCTGGTCCTATGCTTGAGGCCAGGGAGAGTCAAGTAAAAAGGGATTTGATCCTTGCCCTCAGGGACCTCACGGACTGGTGAAGATTACAGACAGGAAAACAAATAACAAATGCTTACACAGAGCTCGCAATGTGCCAGGTCCTGTGTTACACATTTTATGTCTAATTGACTCATTTAAACATTGAAATACCCTATGAGGTAGATCTGGATTATTCCCATTTTCCAGATGAGGAAACAGAGGCACAGAAAAGTTAGGTACCTTGCCCAGCCACCTAGCTAGGAAGTGGCCGAGGTGCATACAAACTCTGTCTATGCTCTTAACTGCTACCCTAAACTGCCCTTTGTAAGACCAGGTTGTTACTGTTGTTAGGTGCTGTAGAGTCGGTTCCAGCTCATAGCAACCTCATGTACAACAGAAGGAGACACTGCCCGATCCCGTGCCATCCTCAAAAATTTTTTTAAGCTTGAGCCCCTTGTTGCAGCCACTGTGTCAATCCATCTCATTGAAGGTCTTCCTCTTTCTCACTGACCCTCTACTTTACCAAGCATGATGTCCTTCTCCAGGGACTGATCTCTCCTGATAACATGTCCAAAGTATGTGAGACAAATTCTCACCATCCTTGCTTCTAAGCAGCATTCTGGCTGTGCTTCTTCCAAAATGGATTTGTTTGTTCTATTGGCAGTCCATGGTATATTCAATACTCTTCGCCAACACCATGATTGAAAGGGATCAATTCTTCTTTGGTCTTCCTTATTCATTGTCCAGCTTTCGCATGTATATGAGGCGATTGAAAATACCATGGCTTGAGTCAGGCTCACCTTAGTCCTCAAAGTGACATCTTTACTTTTTAACACTTTAAAGAGGTCTTTTGCAGCAGATTTACCCAACGCAATGCGTCGTTTGATTTCTTGATTGCTGCTTCCATGGGCATTGATTGTGGATCCAATTAAAATGAAATCCCTGACAACTTCAATCTTTTCTCCATTTATCATGATGTTGCTTATTGGTCTAGTGGTGAGCATTTTTGTTTTCTTTATGTTGAGGTGTAATCCATACTGAAGGCTGTGGTCTTTACTCTTCATCAGTAAGTGCTTCAAGTCCTCTTCACTTTCAGCAAGCAAGGCTGTGTCATCTGCATAACTCAGGTTGTTAATGAGTCTTCCTCCAATCCTGATGTTGCGTTCTTCTTCATATAGTCCAGTTTCTCATATTATTTGCACAGTATACAGATTAAGTATGGTTAAAGGATACAACCCTGACACACACCTTTCCTGACTTTAAACCAATCAGTATCCCCTCGTTCTGTTCAAAGACTGCCTCTTGGTCCATGTACAGGTTCCTCATGAGCATAATTAAGTTTTCTGGAATTCCCATTCTTCGCAATGTTATCCATAATTTGTTATGATCCACACAGTCGAATGCCTTTGCATAGTCAATAAAACACAGGTAAAAATCTTTCTGGTATTCTCTGCTTTCAGCCAGGATTCATCTGACATCAGCAGTGATATCTCTCATTCCATGTCCTCTTCTGAATCCGGCTTGAATTTCTGGCAGTTCCCTGTCAATGTACTGCTGCAACCATTTTTGAATTATCTTCAGCAAAATTTTACTTGCGTGTTATATTAATGATATTGTTTGATATTTTATGCATTCAGTTGGATCCCCTGTCTTTGGAATGGTCACAAATATCGATCTCTTCCAGTTGGTTGGCCAGGTAGCTGTCTTTCAAATTTCTTGGAATAGACGAGTGAGCTCTTCCAGTGCTGCATCCATTTGTTGAAACATCTCAAATTGTACTCCATCAAGTCTTGGAGCCATGTTTATTGCCAATAACTTCAGTGCAGCTTGGACTTCCTCCTTCAATAACATTGGTTCTTGATCATATGCTAATTCCTGAAATGGCTGAACGTCAACCAGTTCTTTTTGGTACAATGACTCTGTGTATTCCTTCCATCTTCATTTGACGCTTGCTGCGTCGTTTAATATTTTCCCCGTAGAATCCTTCAATATTGCAACTCGAGGCTTGAATTTTCTCTTCAGTTCTTTCAGCTTGAGAAATGCCGAGTGTGTTCTTCCCTTTTGGTTTTCTAACTCCAGGTCTTTGCACATTTCATTATTATACTTTACTTTGTCTTCTCCAGCACCCTTTGAAATCTCCTGTTCAGCTCTTTTACTTCATCATTTCCTCCTTTCATTTTAGCTACTCTACGTTCAAGAGCAAGTTTCAGAGTCTCTTCTGACATCCATTTTGGTCTTTTCTTTCTTTCTTGTCTTTTTAATGACTTCTTGCTTTCTTCATGTATGATGTCCTTGGTGTCATTCCACAACTCGTCTGGTCTTTGGTCATTACTGTTCAATGTGTCAAATCAAAGACGAGGTGGCAAGTGCTATTAATCACGATATACTGTTTTGCCTGGTACTAGTTGCTTAATTCAGGCTTATTATCATTCATTATGTCATTCATTAATTCAAATATCTATTGAAAAACTAGCACCTGCCACACAACTCTCCTCCCCACCAATAAATTCCCTCCAACAAGTCTCTTGAACTGAGCGTTCAGGCTTTCTGTCCATCGTTCATCGGATATTTATTATAACTACCTTTGCACCAGGCACTATACAAGGCAAGGAGATTCAGGCAGGAATAAAGCATTCATGTTCTTTGCCACCAGCAGCACCATATCACCTCCCAAAGCCACCCAAATAATTCACATACAGTCCAAGTAAATGCAGGGTGCTTGCTATGCAAAAGTGGTGTCAAGGCAGCCTCCCAGCCTCCCTCCAGCCTGATTTGCATCCCTAGGCTCTTCCTGCACTACAGTTCTGGGAACAGCCCTGGTCCTCGGCCTCGTGTTGGCGTTGTTAGTTGCCATCGATTGTGTGCAGAGTAGAACTGTTCCCTAACATTTTCAAGGCTGTGACCTTTCAGAAGCGGATTGCCTGGCTTGTCTTCCAAGCCACCTTTGAGTGAGTTCAAACGCCAGCTAGCAGTCGAGCGCTTAACCATTTTCGACACCCGGGGACTCCTCTGACCTTGTGCAGTCAGGTGTTAAATAAGTAATTACTAGGGCAGAATTGATGCTACCACAGAGGAGTACAGGACTCTTCTGCTTCCTATCCCCCAGAGAGCCTGGCACAGGCAGGTCTAGGAAGCAGACCTTGCCTATGAATTACAAGAGAACCCCTGGCTCACCTTGCTTGCTGGGTAGCCAGCACTGAGTTTCTAATAAGACTAGGCTTTGACCTCAACAATCTGCCCTCCACACTTGCCTACAAACTTTGTCTTTCCAACTCAGAACCTCAGGGGGCCAGAAGAAAAGGCCTCTGAGGTCATCTCATGCAGCTCCCTTGTTTTACACTGAAGAAAGCCTTTCCCAGAGTTGCCCAATCCACCATGGGGCAGAGGCCAGGGCATTATGAATGCAATGGTACTCTGTGGATACCTACTTCCAGAGTCCTCGTGATCTGTTAAGTCCATTTTTGGAACTTCCCAAGGTCTAAGAGCATGTTAAATGCTCCAAGAAGTCCTGCAGTAAAGAAGCCTGCTTAGTTTTGTTTAACCCAAGTTGCCAAGCTTATGTAACCAAGGATTCCTTTCCCAGTAATAATTCTATTATAAAGCCAGGTGAAATGTAATCAATGTCTACCATATGCTCAACTCTTCACAGCTTTCGTACA